CATCTGAAAGCATTTAACATTCATAACTGTATTGAATAATATCGTTTTTACTCTAATTAATATTTGAAAACCATTTATTTAACGTTGATATTTTCAAAGCCAATCACTTAATGATCTTAACTAAACTGTCATCATATCAATCAGTATCTTAAATCGAGTTGTATTTATAAAATATAAAATGTACATTTATTTATCTTAACATACTCAAATTTCTTTTTCATCACAACAAAGAGTAGACTTTCTCAATAGTAATTCATATATATATATATATATATGTTCAGTAAAGAATATCATTATATTACAAACAATTTTCATAGCAACAACGTCGAAGTTAATATCAAAATCAAAATAAAGTGTAAGTAACATTTGCTTATATGTAATTTGTGTTCCTTTCTTTAGGATTATGTTAACATCAAAATGAATGGCAAGAAACTTATTTAATTGAATAATTGGTTTCATCAATTGTATCATGAACCGTAAGCATTTATTTATTGATAGATAAATTTCTCTTGTTTAATTTAAGGCGCTCCGAATACTGATATAAACGGGAAGGAATTATTCAATCAAATGACTGCTTTTCTTTATCTTAACATCATCTAAACATAAAAATAAATTGTAAGTAATTATTTATCTACACGCAAATCTGTTTCTTAATTTTAGAATAACTTTAACATCGAAAGGTTTAACAGGAAGTTGTTAAGTCAAATAAATATTTTGTTTCTTAATTTTAGATCATTGTTAACATCTAAATAAAATGGTAAGCATTTATTTATTTATAAAACTTTTGTTTTCTTTTTTTGTTTTCTATCAATATCTAGATGGAAATCAATATCAACATCTAGACGTAGATCAATGTCAACATTTAAACGAAACGGTAAACATTTATTTGAAAAACTTTTATTTTATTTTTTTATTTTAGATCAAGATCGATATCAACATCTTAATGAAATGTAAACATCTATTCATTTCTAAAACTTTTGTTTTATTTTTTTGTTCTAGGTCGATATCTACATCTAAACGAAGGTCAATATCAACGTCCAAATGAAATCGTAAGCATTCATTTATCTGAAAAACTTTTATTTTCTTTCTATTATTAGATTATTATTATCGACAAGTCAAACAGTAAGTATCGTTCAAATTTATGGAATGTTAAGTGTGACCGAAGATTCCAATCGTTTTCTTTTTCAAATAGTTACAAGTAGTCAAATTTTAGGTATGTTCACCGTTTTTGTCTGATTCTCATTCATGTCTTCAAAATTTCATTAATTTTTTAGCAATGATTAAAGAAACAATACGGCATATTTATTGCATCTCTAACGATTTACTTTCAAACAAGTCTTTACCTACATTCGCGAACAATAATACACTGGTAATGTATAGGTCACATTTTTAAATAATTTGACTCTGATATATTTTTATTTCATTAGTGAAGATCAATCGTCCAATGTAGAAGAAAAATAGATAAATAGATGTTCATGATTTCAAACAGATAAACAAAATTATTGGTCAAGTTCAACTATTTTTAATTCAATCAATGAGACTTCATCAATTATTTAATTGCATGGCAAAGTTGGTGAGTAAACATATTTCTTTTTCTAAATTAGTCTACTTATCACTTTCGTAGCTAAGGAATCTAAATAATTACTTTTGCTTAAAGTTGCGCCGGTTAATATCAACCATTAGAGAATTTTTTCTTAGAGATTCATGCAGTTACAAGATATTTAAATTATATTTTTTTGTCTAATAATACTCGCCATAAATATTCATGTTTTTCCATTGATCTTTCTATAAGTAAATCGTCTTTCTGAAAATACTATTTCCGTAGAGTGAGCCTCGCCTCTTTACGCATAGAACGCTTCACAAAAGTCTATATCATCAATCTTCAATTTAAATATTGTTGCTAGCACTGCAAAATATTTCGTTCAGATATTATTTTCTCTCAGTCTCTTTCTTCTATATTGACACTCTATTTATTTCTGATAGTGTAGACAGTTTAATGCGAGTCTTCAATTTTCAAAACGTTCATATCAAAAGAAACTGCTTTAGCCTAATCTTCTATTTAATTAATTATCACTATTGCTTATATATAAATTCTGCTCAACTCGCTTCCTTAAATGTCAAACATGAGATCTCTTCCACAAAGGCAATCGACTCCGAAGTCAACTTGCAGCAGTTCCTCCGAGGCTCCTTGCAATACTCTTCGTGGATATATATCACCAACTAGTAGCATCTAAAATTCCCTTAATAGGTATAGATTATCAGTGAATAGTATCTCAAATACCCTTTGTAGATATAGATTATCGGCAACTAGTACTTCATATACCTTTAATAGATATAGATCATCAGTAAGTGGTATCTCAACTATTCTTAGTGGATATAGATTCTCGGCAAGTGGCACCACAAATACCCTTGATAGGTACAGGTCATCAGCAAGTAGTATCTGAAATACCCCTGGTGGGTATGGGTCATCAGCAAGTAGCATCCCAAGTACCTTTCGTAGGTATGGATCATCGTCTAATGGCATCTGAAATACCCTTGCTGGGTGTGGGTCATCAACAATTAGCACCGCAAATAGCCTTGCTGGGTACGGGTCATCAACAAGTAGCATCTGAAATACCCCTAGTGGGTATGAGTCACTAGCAAGTAGCATCTGAAATACTCCTGCTGGGTATGGGTCATCATCAGCTGAGACATCGAATACTCTTATGGGGTATAGAGTTCTTTTACAAGCGCTTCTGAAAACCCTTACAGAGTATATATATGTGAAGAACGTCTCATAAAACGGTTTTATTCGTATATGAAAACATAATATTGATTATGAAATATCGTTGCTCCCAGATCGCGTAGCATATTTTCGATTATTTTGTAAAGTTCAAAAACGGTTAAATAGTTTTTGAAAGTGCAACGAATAATATACCTTTTTAGGGTTGATGATACTTTAATACCCTATCCCAAACCCTTAGAAAATGATTATTTTACTAGGAAGTAGATTTAATAAACGATTCCATAAACCCTTTTGAAGGTTTTCTTATTTTAATATACGTTTAAAATGATGATTTTTTAAGATATTCGAAAGGGTTTTGGAAGGGTTACAAAACGGTTCAGAAGGGTTCATTAATTGTTGCACTTTCAAATACCCTTTTTGGGTTTTCCATTCTGCTATTATTTTTTTCGGTGTTCTTGCTACTCACTATCCAAATTTAACAGAACTGAAAATTTATAACTTTCAACTTGACAGTTCATTACGTTATTTCACAGATAATTAAAGATTATCCATTTTGTTAAATACAAAATTAACTTACAACGCTGTTAAATAACATAGATTATGCATTGTTTCATTATTGTTCTTTAATTTAGATGATTCATCTCTTCGACATATCTTCAAACAACAGATTACAAAACTTCATCTGTTCAACAGAGATTATGATAGTGTAGTAGGATTGTCGATAAATTATATGATAAAGGTCTATGCACATATTTTATCTTATATGGAAAATCTTCAGCAGTTGAACGTTATCAGAATATCAAATCTTGCATATTCGTATTCATCAATTCGTTATTTACCATTAAATACATTTTCTTCTATGACTCTTACATATTTATACATTAATATAAAAATTTTTAGTAATTGTCTTTGTTTACTTGACGACCGTCTCAAACAATTGACTACACTTATTGTTGAGTTTTACTATATGGATAGAAATTCATCAATAGTTCCCATCATAATAAGTGTACTTTATCTTGTTAAAGCTTTTGTATAAAACAGATACTAGTTTTGAATTGGAGACAGTTAGGAAATTTATAAATGAGGATTTTTTAAAAGAAAGCAATAAAGATACCTGTTCCCAATACATCTTTTAGAAGCAAATTGTGTTTAATAATTTTGAAAGTACGAAAAGACTTTGGAAAAAGAATAGATAGAAATCTTTGCATTTTCCTTGAACTTTGCCGAAAATCAATTATTAAGTTTTGATTTTCGATGAAATATGAAAATAATTGAATTTTGCTTTTAATAATCTAGACGAATAAAAAATAATGATCAGATAGAATCACGATAAACATAGCGCTTATATAGTGTATGAATAAAAAAAGAAGTCTATGAACTATTATTTTTAAAATTACATATGAGATATAATCTCAGAGTATTCTACAAATGTATATGAGGGTGAGCTGTTTAAAGGTTAATAAAATCCAATTTCATTATTCTTTTTTAGTAACATCACAAATATGTCAGATCCGTGTAGTCTAGCGGTTAGGATGTGGCGCTTTCACCGCCAATACCCGGGTTCAAATCCCGGCACGGATATACTTTTTCTTGCGTCATTCAACATTACCATCTCTTATATAGATGTCATTGACTAATAGCATGATGTCATAATCTTGCATTCATTTTCTTTCCTTTTCTTTCTTCGATGAAAGAATAAAAATGACTCATTGCTTTTCTTTGATAAAGAAAGAGAAAGATTCAGTCAAATGATGACTACTGTAATTAATCGAACTGTTCAATAAATATCATCAATTCTGACAAAACCTATCATTATTGATAGTCCTTTAGTTAAATGATCGCAATGTTTGAAAATATCAATTCTGTCTATTTGTTTTTCTTGAATGATATAAATAAAATCCACTTTCTGATCTGTATTAAATGGGTGAGGATATGAGTGTAGGTAGGTGTGGATGAGAGAAGAAGCAATAAGCATCCTCACCATACTCACTCACCCTCAAGATGCGAAATTGCAAATGAGAAATGGAAGTTGTGTTTTGGCAAAAAAAATATCGCTCATCTTAATCAGAATACAAGAGCGATTTCAAGTATATATACTTCTGTTTGAAGAATATTTCGGGCGAATACATGACTATGCTAATACTTGTCCTTTCGAAGCTCTGCTATACATTTTTTTTAGAATGTATTAGTTTATTCAATTGAAACTTTTGCATACGAAGAGAACAATATTTGAAATTCTCTTGTGCTTATTCTACCTTTTGTTATATTGTTTCTTTTTTTTATAAATGTCCGTTGATTCATGTTTCCTCTTTTTCTATGTGCTATCGCTTCAGTTTTGGGCTGTTCTATTCGTGTAGATGAAGTTAGCAACGGATTCGAATTTTTTAAAATACTATTCACCTGACAAGGTGTGTCACCATCTTGGGAGTGCGAAGGTGAGAGTGTGAGCGGTTGTTCAAGGTCTATTCTTTCTAATTCGCGTCATCATTATTATACAGCCACCTATACTCTTTTTAAGGTGAATTTAATTGATTATTGAATTTTTTGATATAAATTAGATAACATATTGTTGGTGAAAAATTCATTAAAAACAAGATAAAATGGCTTTGAACATTGTATATTGTTAGTTGCAAATGAATATGTCGTATACAAAGTATCACAGTATTATTCTTCTCATTCCATGCATAATAACCTCCATCATAGTTATCATTCTACGCAAAAAAATCTGACAAAGCGTGCTCGTTTAAAAATCGTCCGCTATATGTAGGGTTCATTTTCCGACAAACCTAAGCATTATGTAAAATTTCGTTCGAAATCAAATGAATGTATTCTCCATAGTGAAATAAATACGAGATTTCCTTTCTGCATTCATTATAGTTATCGAATAAAATTATTTACTTTTCCTGGAAATTAATCTGTAGCATAAAAAATTGAGAAGTTTTTGACTTAAATTTTGAAATCGTTACTAAAATAGCAAAGAAAATAGTTCTCAATTAAGTTTGTATTATTCTATATCAAAAATATTTTCAAGTATTACTTTTTCTTTACATAGGGTGATCTATCTAATATGAAGTGTTTTTCTTTAATATACTACCGTTTAATTAAAGAATATGAGAACAAAATTGTATCTCTTCTTCGTCGTATGTTAAATTTAGAAAAATTAACTTTATATTTACGTATCGCCGAACAAGATGTATTGATGGATCCAACTTATCTTATAAAGAAGTTTTCAATACATATGTCACGGCTTTATTCATTCAAATTGCATCTTAGTACTGAAAATAACAATGATTTTATTTATTATATGTTAAATAATAATGGCAAACAAAATTACATGAATTGTGGATATGAAGACGTACTTAGTATTATTTCTACTCTTGAGCCAGTTACATACCATATATTTATGGCACCGTTTGAATTTGCTGAACTTCATTTTATTGAGAATATATTTCCAAATATCGTATTTAATTATGTTATTAAATTACTCGTATGTGATCGAGTTTCATTTGAGCATGAATTCTTTCAAAGAATATCCAAAGCTTTTCCATTACTGCAAATTTTTTATGTTACTAATTTTATGCTTCAGTTGCATAATACTGAGAGATCATCTAATAATACTCAGTCGCATGAAATCGTTGAATTTCGTCATCTGACTTCACTCAACATTAGTAGAACCGATATTACCTATACTGAACAATTTCTAAATGAAACCAAAATGCATCTGCCTACTCTTTCTGAATTAACTGTTAAGTATGAAGATTGAAGAGCTGTTACAAAAGATTTTACAAGAGATGTAATACGACGTAATTGTACCAATGTGAAACACTTATTTCCGGGAAAACAAATTGTTGGTTCAAAAGACTATTACACTTATTTTCCTTTGCTATAGATTAAATTTAATTGTATCTTTTTGAATTAAAACAAAAAACAAACATATTATTTCATTGGCATTTAACAATAAGCATAAAGGCAAGTAAAGCAAACCCACATGCTCTGTGAAACTCAGATATCTTCAAAACAACTAAGTATGAATAGATGTTAGTTTTGTCTCGATATTTCACAACTCGTCTTCTTCCTATATCTCGATCCTTATATTTGTTCAATAAAAACGAAGGAATATTAAAATTTTCTTTTTCAAGTTCGTTATAAAAAGATCTTTTTTTAATTTTTATCTTTTGTTTAAAATTTTACTTGTTTTCTTGCTGAATAAGATTAAAAGAACGGAGTAAACGCAAAAGTGCTACCCCATTTTCTGACTCCATGAAATTAGTTGAAATCACTTTGGAATCAGTTGGAGTCAATCTGGAATCTGTGTGATTCTACATTATTTTTCTGCTTTTACCTCCTTGGATATTTGTAGCATTATATTTGATAGAATTTGAAGAACATTTAGATTTAGATGTACAAACAAATGAATGTAAGCAGCTATTATCTGATTCACTAGATGATAAATCATGAAGCTTAGTCATTACACTGATTAAGAATAGTGAACAAATTTCAAATTATATTTCTAAAAATAAAAGATATTTAAATTTTTTGATTGATTACATTTCTCAACAGTCGAATTTAGCGAAGGAAACAGAAAACAGTTAAAACAAAGAACGAATTAAATTCACTTTAATCGGCCTAACCTAATCGACTAATTGATGTATTTCTTTATTGTATGCGTAAAATAGCGAAATCTATTGATTATTTCCGACAATCGTCTATTATGCCACACAGAATTTTTTACCCCGCTCAAACCCGAGAAAATCTATTCTCACTTACGCGAAGGCCGTTTCTGTTTTCTGTATCATTCGCACCCGTCACAACCGGCAGTCAGGTACGGTTACCGGATTTCTTCGATAAATTCCATGCATTTTTGACGGATTTCACTCGGAAATGGCGAGTTTTCTCGAGGTTTTTGACAGAAATCCATGGAATGCTACTTCAGAAACAATTAATACTATATGAATACTAATTTTAGCTTGTTTTTCCTATTTATCATTCATAACAATATATATGACCTAGTAAAGATAGGTTGCGCATCTAGTTTTCACGATTCTTTATCTGAAATATAGCATATATATCTCGCATTTATACCATAAGTATTATGTGGCGATGTTTAGCTGTACACCATGTAACTGATCTTCAATCGCAATAGTTTGATGAAAAACAAGACAATATCTGTATGTGACTTTATTTATTTCTCCAAAAAAAAATACCAATCCTCATCTCCATCCTATTTATTTTCCACTTCATTAGTCATGATTTTGTCGTGAAAGATTCAAAAGCGTCTCAAATAAAACAACATATAAAGCATAAGAATTGCAAACGACAGAAAATACACAACATCAAATGTCTGTAATGAATATTGATCAGTTCTGTTTTCTTAAGTATGAGCACTAGGTTTTCTTGCCATAGTATCTAGTGCTGCTATTCTATTGTTGACTAGATTCTTTTGTTTAAATTGAGAAATTACAAAAAGAATCAATGCTACCACCAAGGGTGTGATGAATAAATAGAATTTTGTTAATCCACCAATCAATCCAGTCATGGTTGTAATAATATAAATAATATTTCCTCGATTTACATACGTTATTGAACATTCATTTGGTTGACACTCATTAAAATAATTCTCATAAGAGCTTTCATTATTCCATTGTTCAATCATGAGATTTGAAAGAATTTCGAGAAGGTTTGTCGTAACTTTATATTTTGATGTTGAATTTGACAAAGGAGAAGTATCAGTTGATATATTTAATGAATCAATTAATTTTTGTAAACAGAGATCATCATAAAAACATTGTAAATCACTTTGCAATAAACCTTCAATTAAATAACAACCAACATAAATACCTATAAAAAACAAGAAGAAGAAAAAAAAGTTAATAATAACAAGAAAAAGACAAAACAAAATGGGAAGTTGTAATTTTAACTTTATTTTTTTTATTTACCCGGTATATGAAAAATTGCTGTAGTACCGTTTAAATCGTAAACGACTGCTTGTTGAACGCAAAAAGAATTTTCTTGGCAATCACAATTACTTCCAGTTACAGTTGAATTATATATTTGATCTCTTCGATCAAAAATATATTCATAAGTATATTCATAAACATAACCATTGTAGTCATAATTGCCATCATAATAATATTGTGGATATACAGTTAAAGCTGAATCTGATAATAAAGCTGATACTAACATGTTAGCAGCTGTCATATTGTTAACGAACCAAAAATTACTTAGAAATGAATGAGCGGTATTTTCGATGAATTGAACAATTATTTGAGATGTTTGAGCAGAAAATTGTTCTCGTGAAATAAGATTGGATGTAGTAAATGTAGTGGAATTGAATGTAAGTAAAGTTATATTCACTGTTTGTGATGATAATTGACAGGATGAATTGAGTAATTCAAATAATGGACTACTAATATGACGAAAATCATCGATTTTCGCATGAAATTTCAGTGTATTTCTTGAAGTGAATTCAGAACGAGGATAATCAATATTTAACCATGTCCTTGATGTGACTAAATCGCTGGTACACACAGAATGAAATTGTGGATTGAATTGAATGAAATTTTGATATTGTATTGATAGTGTTTTACACGGACATTGAAGATTATCTGAATAACGTTGATAGAGTTGGTTAAATTGATCAATTGATGGATTTTTAACTGTTACAATCTGTGTTATATTTTCAACGGAAACATAAATAAGAATAATAACGAGTGAAAAACTAAGAAGTATAATGAAGATACGTGTATATATACGTTGATGCTGTATTTGTTCAATGGATCGCTCATTTGGATCTTTAAACAAATTTAATGTTTTAATAAAGTTTGTCAACATTTGACTATATTTGCGAATGGAACTTGTCGCATTTTCATATTCTAAAATATAAGAAAAAGATTAGTCATTCGCTGAAATCGTCTATAATAAATATAAACCGAATAAAATATTTGTTTACACGAACTTACCCTCAACTTCTGTCTCAGTAAGTTGTGGTCGTTTATTTCTTCTTATAAATTTTACAATAGGTGGTATGATAATTCTAAATATAGTTGTTAATCCACCAATTAAACCTATTATTGTTGTAAATATATAAGTGAGATCTCCTTGTTTATTATAAGTATAAACACAAAATTGTGGATTACACTGTTGATAGTATGAAGTGAATGATATTTGATCATTCCATTGTTCAATCATTAAATGTTCCACAATTTGTTGAATTTTTGTTGTGTTTTGATATTGTGTATTTGATGAATTATAAATCATTGCTGTAGCATTAAACGGATATAGAGACACTGAACTGATAACTTTATATAGTTGATCTAAACATGATTGATTAAAATAACATATAAATGTAGATTGAAATAGTGCTTCAACTGTGTAACAACCATACCAGAAGCCAGACATATAACCGGTAATCGCCGCATGATTACCTGATAAATTAGCAAAGCGGCCTGGTATACCACAAGTACTTGGGTCAGTCTTACATGAACAAGAATAACTAAAAGTGCCATTATCATAATAATGATCAAATATATATGGATCAATTATTTCATCATTCGAACTGTTGCCAACAAGCGAAAATCGATAACTTGTTAGTAGACCAGAAAATAAGGCATTACCAGAAAACATTTCACGATACACTGAAAACGCTTGTAAATAGGAATTAGCTGTTGATTTTTTGAATAGATTTACAATTTGTTGAGTTTGAGATTGAAATAGATTTATTTGTTGTACATTCTTTGTTACATATTTAGTAAAGTTAAATATCAATAATGCATTATTAATAGTATCAACTGATAAATTACAAAATGCTGATAAGGTTCTATAATATAACGGAGCCACGTTTCGTATATCAGTTGCAAGGATTTGCACGTCGGTAAGAAAGAAATTGATCCATTGTGTAGTTATAAAATCACTTGAACAAATTTGATGAAACGTTGGATGAAATGAAATAAATTTCTCATAATCAATTGTAATTTGTGTACAAGGACAAACAAGTGTCTGAGAATATTTTGTTTGTAATACAGTGTAAACATCGGTTGTTGGTTGTCTAACAGTAACAGTTTCTGTAACAATAGTTAAAGACGTATAGAGAATGAGTAAACTTAATGTAATTATCATTAAAATAATAAAGACACGTGTTGTAATGCGTTGATTGTTCAAATCATGAGCACTTTGTTTGTATGGATCTTTAAATAAGTTGAAACTTATAACAAAATCTTTCGTCTTTAATAGTGTTGCTTGAAAATTTTGCCGTAAAGATCCAGGAGTTTCTCTATCTAAATGAAAAAATAGACAGCAGAAGAGAATTTTAATAATTTCAATCGGATTAACATCTTTTTGTTTATTTGCAATTTGACTAACCTATCTCAGTTTGAATCATTGGTTGTTGTTGTCGTCGACGATATACAAAACGACGAATAAATGTTACCAATGGTAGAGTAACTAACATTAAAATTGTTACAATACCTCCAATAGAACCTATCACTGTTGTAATCATAAAAAGCACATCAAATTGTTTAGTATATGTATAAGTACATATTGATGAATTACATTGAGAAAAATAAGATTGATAAGAAGAATTAAATATCCATTCATCGACCATTAAATTCTCGATCAGATCATTGACTGTTGGTAATGAAGAGTAGGAGACAGAATTTAATGGTGTAGCATTAAATGGATATAATGAATTGTTAAGATAATTATTTAATTGTGATAAACATGAACTATTGTAGAGACATGATAAATCTGATTGTAAGACTGCATCAAGAATAACACATCCAACATAAATACCAGATACATTAAATAAATTACGTATGTCATATGATGAAAAACGCTGCATATATGGATAGTCTATATGGGCGGAGCCAGGAGAATTTGTTGGTAAAAGTGAATAAATACCTGTATTTGCTTTACAGTAAGAAGAAACATCACATTTGCATTTATCTGGTGACGGAAACATATTAACATTCGCCCGCATAAACGGTGCATCTTGGGCAAGAAACACATTCATTAATCGATAATTTGAGCCGAGTCGATTGAGCAAACCGTTTCCTTGAATAAAGGCCCGTAGTACACTAAGTGAAGTTTGAAATGAACTTGCTGTCATATTTATAACTTGATCTTTGGATGCAAGAATAGTGGCTAAGAATGTTTCTTCGGAAACTAGATTTTCAGTTAAAAGTGTTAAAGAATAAAATTGAATCAATTCATCATTAATAGTTTGAGAAACTAATATACAAAGTGTTCGTAACATTTGAAAAAAAGAATAAGCTGAATGACGAAAATCAAGAAGATACTGATACTCTATTTGTCGTAAAGAACGATAGTTGACATAATTTAACCATTGCTTACTAACAAAATCACTTGAACAAATTTGATTGAATTTTGGAGTGAATGATACTACGAAAGTACGATATTCATTTAATATTTGTTGACAGGGACAAACTAAAGTATTTGAATATTTCGATTGTAAGTCTTTGTAGACTGTGACATCTGGGTGTTGGATGATCACAGTCTTTGTAACATTGGTTATGGATACATAGACCAATAAAGAAAAAATCGATAGGCAAAGTAAAATCAGAAAAATCCATGTTGAAATTTTTTGATTTTTCAAATCCTCTACTCCCACTTGTTGAATATTTCTGAATAAGTTTAATGTTTGAATTTTGTTTTTAAAATAAGTATAGATTACGAGTAAAGCCATTTCCTATAGAAATTAGTATAGAAAACAAATTATAGGGGTATCCAAAAGTAGCACAACCAAAAAATAAAAATTAATATCTTCCTTACAGTTCGAGCAGGCGGTTCGATTTTTTATAGATGATAAAGGCGTCTTTAAGGTTTATACTCATAAGAACAAGGTTATTGTTATGTAACACTAATAGGTTCAAGAAGAAAATTTTACTCTTTCACAGTTTGTGAAAAATTAATATACAGGATGGTACAAAAGTTATTTTATTTGAGAGGGCCCTTTGAATATAATAAACCACTATATCTGATGGCACGCTATATTTATTGAGTAAATAAAAACGAGAACAAACAAATAATGATAGAAAAACGGGGAACAGAAACGTGTGAGCAGAAGAAATAAAAACAAGGGAGAAACGGGGAACTTTATATATAAAAGTATGTGAAAATACGGGGAGTAAATTTGAATGGCTTCAAGTACACACAAGTATGTAGAAGCACCGGCAAAAACATTAAAAGTCTCTTATAATATCATTAAGTATTTTCAAGTCTCTATAAAATCTCTCAAAGTATCTTGAAGTACAGATAAGTGTCACAAAATAGTGTAATAATCTCGAAAGGTTAGGAGCTCATCAAACAAAATTCAGCGACTATAAAATCTAAAACAGTCAATTTACATATTTTTAAATCACAAAAAAACTATCAATGATGAATAAAATGATCAAGAATTTTATGAGTTAACTAGCAAGAGTATCCGCTGCTGGCCCTGAATCCTCCAAAATAAAAGCATCATATATTAGAAAAAGACAAGAGATTTGGAAAGGATTGTACTCAAAATTTTTCATCTACGGCCACAACATATTTCATCATGCATACCTGAGATAGAACACCTTGTACTATGTAGCATTCCAAATTTACCCATATTCTTACAGTTCCCGCTGTAAACAGCTTCTTCTTACTGTTCCCATTGCAAAATCCTTCTCGTCCGCTTTCCGCCGCAAAAGCCTTCTTCTACAGTTTCTACTGCAAAAACTTCCTCGTAGAGCTCCCGCTGCAAAATCCATACTTTTTCTTACAGTTCCTACTGCAAAGTTCTTTTCGTATGGTTTCCGCTAAAAATGGTTAAATTTCAAGCACCTTTCTTTTCCTACCCTCTACACTTTGCCTTGTATATACGGAAGTGTCATGGGCTGTTTGGTGGTCTTAGATATCACATAACCACCTGGGTGAAATTTCACTCAGACAACGTCTCCTAATCCCCTACCAGTATTTTC